AATTTTTTTTAAGATGGTTATAACTATTTTTACGTCCGCATATGGGCTTAATATAGGTTTAGTATAGGTTATCTAGAATTTGACATTCTTCTCTGATATCCTTGAATATTGGACATTGAATTGTAGTGTTTTATAATAATTATGATTGTGTGGCAAGAGAGTTACATAGGAGGTTTTTTTTTCTTCATCAAATATCCATGAGTGATTCTTGTGACCCATTTTGAGTCTTTTTAGAGCGACGACTCCTTTTCAGCATAAATTATTGGGTTTAGACCAGAGTTCCAGTCAATGTTTAATTTTTCTTAATTTTTTATCTGTTTCTAATTGCCATTCAGTAAGTAATAATAATATAACAATTATTATTATTGTTATTATTCATTGTAAAATCGTATAACTAAATAGTTAGATAGGTATTTTTACTTGTAAATATTTAAAATATTATTATATTAATTTAATTGAATCGCAAGTTTTCACAAACGAAATTATATCTTAATATAATATAATATGATGTTTTTATTTTATTTTTTATTGAACATTATTAAAACTTTGAATATATTTTAATGTATGAATATCAATATGTTTCCTAGCGAAGATGTTTATTTGAATAAATAATTTAAAATATATAATATTTATTTATTACTAACAATATAATTTAAGTTGATTTATTTTAAATTAAACACAATTATTATTATCGAAGTTTAAATAATATGTAGGTTCACCGTGATTACTTTTAACTAAATTCACATAGCTTTATTATTTATCGTCAAAGTTTTGAAATATCATGATTAGGTATATAAACTTATATATTGTTATTGTATGTGCATTATGCTTCAACTTAAATTGTATTCAAAATACGATTTTAAACCAACTTAAGTTGAAACTAAACACTATTATATTATAATATTCAACTAAGTTAATGTAATAGATAATATAGAATATAGGCTGATAGGTAAATACCTACATATAATATTATCGCCTCGACTTCTACAAGACTAATAAAAATATACTTTAATATAATACAGAACTAACAAATTGATGTTTGTAAGTAAAAACAATTTTGAAATTTAAATAAATAAAATGTCTATGATTCTGTTCAACTGTTGAAATATAACAAATAGTATTTTTTTAATCAAACGTTATAATTTCTATATGAGCCATTTTATGCGAATGTTTTTTTTTTTTTAAATTTATTTCCAGAAAATTAGTAAATAATTGTTGTAAAATCCAATACTGTTTTTGCAATTAACAATAATTGTATGCAAAGAAACTAATTTAAGACTATCATCAAGAAAGAAGTATGTTGAGTTAGTAATATATTCTTGGCAGTATTAGACATTTCTATACGGAAATTATTATGTTGTTAAATATCAAATGTGTATGTTCAGTAAATAAAATTTAAACTTCAAATTCACTTTTTTATAAGTTATTTTCTAGATTTTCTTAAATATTTTATTAATAGAATATTATATGCATAATTTATTACAATAAGTGAATATATAAAAAATTTACTTTGTAAGTAACAATCATGAATATAAAATACGATATAGATATCTATGTTTAAAAATTCAATTTATTCATTAGATTAATATATATATTTATAAATTCTTTGGGGTTTTTCATTCATAATCCGTTGAGTTTAATACAACTTTTTAACTCATTAACCATGTATATAAAACATAATCCTTTTAAATTTTTTAACGTTATTATACAGTAGGTTTCATATTAGTCAATTTTAATTTTTGTTATAGTTTTAAGTGATTGCATAAAACATAATAAATAATAATATTACCAATAGGCACTTTTTATAGTTGTGTATAATTTAGTGAAAGAGTTTTGCTTCTGGTTTAAATTTGACTTAAATCTTAAATAATGTAAATACATTGTATATTATAATACTACACTATATTATATTTTTTTATATTGATCTATTTTGTTTACATTAAATAAAATAATAGTAGTGTTTTAATTATTATATCAATCCTTTACAAGTAGTATGTACTAAACATAATATATTTGAGAATATGTATATAATATCATAAATTTAATCGTATCAATGATTTATATAGTATATTAATTTATATATATAAATAAAATATTGATTTAACTTTAAATAGAAATATTTTTTCAAACACGTTGTCTAAAAAAATATTAAAGATAAATTCCTAATTATAAAAAAAATTAAAATACAAAATTTACTTCAATACTCTAGAGACTAAAGTACTAGTCAATCCTTAACATAAAAAATGAAAAAAAAACATAGCTTAATGACTTTTAGACACTCAGAGTTTCTTGGGCTCAGTCCAATGGAGATGATTGCCAAGTCTTTTAGATAAAGCGAGATGATATTTGTTTTGTCTGTTTAACTCTAAGGATATTCAAAGAATTGATAGCGAAGGAACGAATGCGAGATATTTTCGTACAAAAGTTAGTAAAACTTGTGCTGTATGATATGAGTGTTCAGTGTATATATATTAGATATGGATATAGTGACCAATCTAAATATTACTATAGTAACTTTTATGTAGCTTAATATTTAACAATGACACAATTAATAACATTCTATGATTCATCACCACATGATCTAATTAATATAGAAGTGATATTTATTATAGCGATAAAAATGCATCGTTTTTGAGTAAAAATATCAAATCATATATATTTTTTTTCGGAATATTTTACAGCTATAATTATTAAGTAATAAAGCATCATTATACATACTACATAAACTTTATTCGTGATTATTGATATGATTATTATTATTATTTTTACCAAATGGTTCCTTTACAATAATTTAATTTATACTTACTTTTTGAATACCCAAATTTAAAACGTTTAAAAATTCTTTGTGTTTTTTTTTTCTGAAATCCATACACATTTTATTGATATTAAAATACTTAAAGAACAATTCAGAAATATTTGTTGACAATTTTATAGGGTATATTTAAGTGAGAAATACGTCGAAATATGACAATTATATTTGTCCGTAAAAGATGATTATAATTTATAGGTTTTTATTAAACGTTTTGTATTGATTACTATCAAAGTATTAACAAAACAGGCCTCAGATGTTACTTTTTAAAAACTCGAGTATTAAAAGCCATTAATCTTATTTGAAACAAAAGAGGAATCGTAAAAGATTGTTTTCAATTATTGCTTTTAATCCTATTACATTCAATCGGGAGATGTGGACCACTACAACAGTATTCTATACAATATATTGAAAAGTCGTTTTAAAATCATCGTGTTCTATACTTACAGTATAAGAGTTAGCTGACAATTTTACAACAGTCTAGTAACTCAAATACTAAAATGTTACAAAATGTTTTAAACTCTATGCGTTTTAACTGGAATTTAATACTAACCTTGTTTCATCTGAGCGTATTCGTTTTAATTAAATTTGATTACTTTTATCAAAATAATTATCCATGATTATTTTATGTAAAACAAAAAAGAAATCGCAACATTTATTTTTACAGAGGAATGGAAATGATAGTAGTTTTCTTAATTTTTTTGTCAATAAATTATATTATGCTCAACGGTGTGACGTCTTGCTTTAAAAATTGTGAAACGTATATTACCCCAGTAATTTTATTTTTATTTATTTAATATTTTTATACAATAATTTAATACAATTGATCATAATTTAAAAACGTAAAACACACAGTGATTTTTAATCCACGTATAATGGTGATAAAATAAATTAATAATGTCCATGAAAAATTATTGAATGCGCATACTCGTACATATATTTTATAAATATTTAGAATTCACGCAATCGTCTATGTAAATTAATTGTTCATAACATAGAGTTTAGTTTTATTTGCTATACTGTTCGTAAAGGTGAAGTAGAGAAAAAAATGTCATTGTAATTTAGTGTACTTTCGTATACATCCCCTAGAAATCGCTGCCAATAGTATTTCTAAGGTTTTAATGTCCTTCCTAGACCTCACAAAATTTACTAACCTATCTGTACGTGTTTCGAATATCGGTAAATACAAGTAATATTAAAAAAAAAAGATGGCAAAATTGAGAGATGCAAAATTCTGCTCTCTAACAACGGTGGAAAAAACGTCATTTTACTATCTCGATGTTGCATGTTTTCTTGCGGTGATTTCAACTTGTATGTATTTCGAATAATAACTACTAAATACATACTTTTGAATGACGTTTTAAAGTAATATTTAAAATTCTGTATTAACAATATAGCGTAATAAATAAAAATATAAAATGACTAGTTTTTTTATAAATAAATTAAGCGCTAGATATAATATTATAAGATTTAAAATGATTATTCATCTTCTTTTGACATAAAAGTTAAAAAGTAAATCATGAACTATCATATACAATTTTACATAATTAAGAAGTAATATTTATTATTTTGGGAAAAGTCCCGGATTAAATATTGTTATTAATTATAAATGTGTTAAAATATATAATATAATAGTTATTCATTTCTAAATATCTTCTTGCACAACTTAACGTAATCATTGTAGGTAAACTTTAAATTCTTAAATTTTACACAAAATCCTTAAATTTATAAAAATATTATATATATATATTATTGAATATTGGAAATTATATAATATTATAAACTATCATGTACTTTTTGTTTGTGCCAAATTAAATTACTTCCAGATAATTAGTTAATCATCAATATCTTTGTTTCCTAACAATTTAACAATAATCTATCGATGATAGGGATTGGAGTGATTATTAATTTCATATTTTACCTATACTATTGATATAACTTTAGTAAATCTAATAAAATTGTTAAAATATTTTACGTTTATTACATTAATTAATGTTCTAATAAGAAAAAGAAAAATTTAATACGAATATTTGTTTATTAGTACTAATTTAATTATCAATGTACGTTAATTTATCTTGTATTCTAAAATTATTAAAATACATGCTGTTAATTAATATTAAGTTTAAAATAATTGACTATAAGTAATTTATCTATACTAAATCGATAAATAAGATAAAAATATGTTTTCTAGATTCCTCAGCTATAGTTATGTGGCTGCATTCAACCTGTGGCTGATGTTGTGTCCGTCGGCATTGAGTCATGACTGGCAAATGAATTCACTACCGTTGGTCACGTCTCTGAATGATATCAGAAACATCGGTACTTGTGTAGCTGCAGCATTTTTATTGTGCACTACGTGCAAGATATTATCTGACATGGACGTAAGTTGTATACTCTTCATAATGCTTAATTTGTATAATTTAAATTCACAAAATCTTTAATTTTTCGTGGTTAATATTAACATCATTATAAAATGAAATAGTTGCATATCTATTAATTCTTCAAAGATTCATTTTAAAACTATCGTTTTATTTTAACTTGTATTTTACTATTATTAATTTATCATAGTATATTGAATTTTTTTAACGTATTTAAAATAACTTTACCTATAATTTAAATTTTTAACATGATTAAGTTTATAAACATAATACTTAACAGACACATTCGTTGTTGATTGTTTCTAGAATTGTATGGATACGAATATTAAGTTTAGTAACCGTTAAAAAAAATAAATACAAATGATTGAAAAAAACTTTTGATGTTTTAAGGATATTTGAACAATATTCTCTGAAAAAATAATTTAAAACATATTATATGCCTTTTTATTAGTTTATTCAATGTTTAGAATAATTGCTTATTACATTTTAAAAGTTTTAAAATTTAAAAATTAAAATTTTTGAGTATGATAATACAGATAACATAGCTTTACGATTAAAATATTTTTTAAATTCACTGGGGAAATAAAAATTTATCTATTTAAATTAAACATAATATTTATGACAAAAGTATGAAACTAACATAATAACGTTAAGTTGAGGTAATGTAACCAACTAAATGGCCATAATTAATGTAGGGAGATTTTGTGTGCGACATTCTATAGTGCTAACGGGATTTCGGAAGGTGGACTTTCCATGAGTTATGTTTTCCGTCCTTAAACCTGCGTCTTTAGACCGGTATGCTTACCCCTTCTACTCATATGACCAACTTCAACTTGATTCCAATACATTTTCGGGTTCCTGTTTTCATTTTAGCGAAGGTATTGGCGGGTAAATGTTAGTTTAATTCAAAACGGATACCAGAATTCTATGCACAATCAATTCGGAGAGGCATTTAATGATAAGCGGGAAAGGTCGACCTGGTGAGCTCGTTAACATTTGGTCGAAATATTTTGGCAAAGATAAACGCCAAAATAGGTCAACGGATGAAGAACATTAAATTAAGTGTATATACATAGAAAAGCGTACATGAAAGTCCCTTAGTGTAAAAAATAAATAAATTATCTTTAACATATGATTTTAATTTAATGATTTTAGTTCATTTTTTCATGTTATTAATACATATACAACACTGTTGATCAATTGATTTATACACTAAAGCCATGGCACTATTTAATAGCTATGATGTTGTTTCATAATATCCGTTATTTTTTATTATACTTGGATATGTATTAAAATATTGCGAAACGTACGTAGGTATACGTATATATAAAATTCACGTAGTAGTTCATTGCTACCGATTGACACACTTCTTGACAATAATATTCAATCTATTTGACGTGGTATTCAGTTAGAGTGGGCTTTCGTTGGGTTTTATTTGAAATCCCCGCGGACTTGCATGTATGCATACGAAAACAACGGTTATAACCAACCACTATGGTAGTAATTTGGCGTTGAAATTTTACGCTGTTCAAATATGTATAAAATAATTTTAGGCACCATCGTAAAATTCCCCATTGGCAGAAAATTATAATATTATTCCGTCTATTTTACGGAAAGGGGAAAATATACACGGAATATAAAACGCTGTATTCGCGGGTTCAATTTACGGAACACTAACCTCGAGTTTTTTTTTATTGTTATTGTTTGCGTGAAAAAAAATAACGTCCCTTGTATCCGTCCTCTGTTGTAAGCATTTAGTAATTTATCCCACTGAACACGTACATCAACACTGCTTCCGTTAATTTTGTTCTCCAAATAATAATTACAATAAAAGCTCTGTTTTGTTGCTTTAAATATTGAAGGAAATCATAATTATTATTATAAATAGCCGTTTTAGCTAAACATGTTATTTAGTCTAGCTTAATATAACATCTATGACTAAAATACTACAAATCGTATCACGTAAACCAGGACCTTATATTGAAATTCAGCTCACGCGTTTTTGAAACTCTTGTGTATGTGGTAATTAAATAGATTATAATAAATTATTATTGTTATAAATATTCGATTGATTTAAAACACTTCTCATAGGAAAAAAATGTTTAATGTCGTTTATTTTACAATACATGATATTTTACTTTTATCCCACAACCAGATTTTTATTAGATTTACGATAAAATTTATGACGTTAACTAAAAATAATAATAAGCTAATCAAACCATAGATTTGGGTAGAACTGTGTTCAAAGAAAACGAATTATTAAATTATTTAAATTTTTCATTCTGTATCTAGATATCAACAACTATTTCATAATTTATCATTCAGTTCAACTACTCACTATCCTGGTAGCAATCATATTTTTACAAATAATTTAATCATCGTACTTTCTCACTAGTGTTATCTTACAAAAGTTAAATTTTTTATCAAATATGATTTTTGTAATTCTTAACACTATAAAATATACACATAAGAGTTGAAATATAATTATAATTGTATGATGTAAGTCATTTATAACCAACGCTAAATCATATTACGTATGTAAATTACATGATAAATATAATATCAATACATTTATATAATAAGTATTTATTGATTGTAAATAATTTAAATATTTTGTATTGTAATTTTCAGACACAGAAACATAGTCCTCAAGTTTTATCAGCTCTTTTACTTATTATCCCTTACATTCCTGCTTCTAATCTTTTAGTGACAGTAGGATTTGTGGTGGCTGAAAGAATACTTTACATACCCAGGTAAATATTTTTAAAATTTGTGTTGTATTTATTTCATACCATAACATTGTATTAAGGAACAATGATTAAACCTATTATTTTATATTACTTTTTTGATATTACTATTGTTTTGTGTAATTAAATAATACAAATAAAAGTTTAACAAGCACTTTAATAATGATCGAAAACCAAAATACATTGTATAAATAATAATAATAATTTTCTATTATTATTATTATCTATACATTTATAACTTTATCTCAATTGTATATAAAAATATTTTTTAAATTAAATTCGAAAAAATAAATCAAGTAAATAAAAAATGAGATTATAATAGTATTTAGTATAATAAATTTATGAACAATTCATTTTCTAGCTTTTTTAAACTATTTATTATTTTTCGTTTAAATGCTAAATTTAAAATACTTTGCTAATTGTATTGAGTTTATTTATAAAGGTATATTTATAAATTTAATATAAAACATAATTATTCTAGGGTTTTTTTTTATTTTTAATTAATTTATAAATTTAGTTTTTGTAGCTTTTATAGTTATATACCTACTATAATATTATATTGATTTACAGTATGGGATTCATTTTGTTATGTGTATATGGTCTTCAAACAATTTTGAATCACAAAAAATCATCAAATTGGGTGTTAATTACAATAAAATTCTTTGTGGGCTTCACACTCTTGGTATTTATAGCAAGAACTGTGCTAAGAAATAGTGATTGGATGTCTAGACCGGCTATTATTAAGTAAGTAAATATAAAAACAACTCAAATTTAAAATGTAATCAAAAATTGATAAATATGCAACTTATTGTGTTTTTTTTTTTTTTTTTGTATAACATTATTATTGATTTTTAAGCATTATACATTTACTATTTTTTTATTTAATACTTATGGTATATTATGAGTATAGTTTATCTCTGCAATTTCATATTTTATTTTTTACTTTTCGTTGATAAATTTAATAATTTAGATGATTTTTTTTTTTTTTTTTTAAATTAATATGTAACGTAAAAAAATCGATAACATTCAATGCATATTTTATCTCAAGTTTCCAGATAGTTCATACATTGAATCACAATATATATTAAGTGATGTGACTTTTCAGGGCCGGTTTGAAGACTTTGCCACACAATGCCAAAATGCACTATAACTGGGCGAATTACCAAAGGGATGTAGGGGACACGAAAACAGCTGTAAATCACTACAGAGAGGCGTTAAGGTAAGATTTTAAAAACGCATTTACTCTAAAAAAAAAAAAATATATAAATAATGTTAGATAAACTATAATGATTTATTCAGACTAGGTACGTATGCATACAAATTTTACTAGAATTAAATAAGAACAATAAATGCAATAGCAAATTATGGGTAGGTACCTAAAAATTACGCTCGTAGTAAATAATAATAATAATAATATCTAGATTACAAAAAAATAAATTATAATTTCTTATAGTAATAAACACTTCTAGATTATAAAATTTTGTGGATGCTGACAGCGACGTTCGTATTAGTTTTTTTAGTTGTTTAGTGTTAAGACCGTTCTATCTTCAAAACGTGCTTTTGCTCTTAAAAAATGAAAAGTCGTTGCAGTTTCAAAGCCACAAAAGAGGCGGATATCTTGAGCCATTTTTTTAAATGTGTGTATATATATGCGAACATTTTTTTGTCTTCTGGAAAATAATTATTATTACAAGACGTAAAAGACAACCATATCTCGGCGTCCCTTCTGTTTTTATCTTTGGTTATTTTTCACGAAGACGGTTGGGTATTAAAAAAACGAGTTTTATTGTGGAGATACTCTAACAGCGCGTAGACAATATTTATGACGAGGGATCCGAGGACTGTTTGTTTTTCTGTTAAAGGTTAAAACGTGCACAAAGCGCAAGATAAACTGCCGCTGTTATGCGTGACATGTTAAAATATAAATAAGCTCCATTGGGATATAACGAAAACTTCGGTGAAGCATAAATTATACGTTTTTGTTTATATTATTCTCTTACTGATAGTGGCTTCACTACGCTTGATTACATTGTGTTTAATAGTTTCAATTGTTAGGCTTTATTATAATTATTTTACTTTTTTCAAACAGGTTGTTATTTATTAACATAATTTTTACGTTTGTATTCAGTTATGTGTAAGCAAAAATAAAAACGTTAAAAAAATTTAAAGCCTAGCTATAAATATTTTGAAATAATTTTTTTCTTTTTTCAAATTTGGTATTATATATATTTTTTTATAATTTAAGTAATATTTAAATCTTAGGTATTACATTATAATCCTTTTCATTCATTCAATAATTTTTTAAGTATTTCAAAATAAAAAATTCGCATTTCTGAAAAAAAATTATTTAAAAAATTTTTTTAAATATATGACCACCAATTAAAAGCATGAAAGTTGGATGTAAAGCTTGTAGTTTAGTAACTATTTTTTTATTTTGTAATTCTATTTTATTTGTCTGGCTAAAACAATATTTTCTATGTTGTTATCTGACAAACTTTTAAGCTTTTAATCATTCGTTTTCGTGCATTTTATTCCCCTCGGGCCACGGTATTTAAACCATCGTTCAGCTTCCGTGAGACATTTTCAAATACCGTCAACAATTGCAAAGAGTGTGTGGGTTTTTAGTTTCCGCACAGTGATCACAGCCAAAAACTGAGTTAGTGAGAAATTCGATGATGATGGTTTGAAAACAAATGCGTTCATTTATTTTGTGTTTCGTAATTTGCATGAAAATTAACATCTTGACGTTGTTTTAAATATCTAATATGTAATATAATTCAACACACATATTTAAAATACTATTAAGAGCAGTACAATTTTGTATACTCTTCCATCCCTGAAAACTTAACACGAGTATTCATTTCCTGTTACCAAACAATCTTCTTATCGTCTATCCGGTCTAAGACTTAACACATAACACTAAGCTTCAGTACTGAGTTTTTTCACGTATAAGTTTTAAGTTACCCTACATGACTTATCATTTCATCAAATATTTAAAAATTTTAAATATTTTGTTGTTACCATAATGTAACATATTAAAAAAAAAAAAAAAAAAAAAAAATTAAATAAATAATAACAAATTAATATTAAATTATCGATTTACCAAAATGAAAAAAAAAATAATAGATAAATTTATCTTTTACTGTAGAACATTTTTATAATTTACATCTTAACATATTTTGAAAAATAAAAAAAAACAAAATAGTTTAAATCCTATATTAGCATAATAAAAATAAAAATATTATTACTATTGATTGTTTAATACTTGAAAGTTAAAATATTTGAATCATCAAAAACAATACGATGTAAACGATGTAAATATTAATAAGTAATTACCAAAACTACGTTAATTTAAATAATTTATAAAAACAATCGCAATCAATAAAAAACGAAATAAATGAAATTATAATTCACTAATACTCGTATTATAGTTATAATTACTAAAAAGTGTAAATTTATGAATATTTTTAATACTTATGTAAATAATTATTTATTTTTTTGTGAGATATAATACTTGTGTAAAAAAATAAAACTCCTAAATATTTAAATTTATTTTTTATTATCTTCTATAAATACAATAAAGTCTATAGATTTTAACATTTTAATAACATAATAAAATGTTAGGGGATGTTTGTCTGACAATTGCTGATAGTTGTTTTATTCTTTATTTATTAAATTGCTATATGCTATTGAATATTGATTATTATTTATGAAAATAAATGTATCATTTTTTTTTTTTTTTTTGAGTCTTCAAGTAAATTAATTTAAAATATAATACATTTATTATATATACTTAACTTTGAGTTTTTGTAAACTTCTTTTATACGGTAACAAGTTCTTTTTAAACGTTAAAAACTAAGATTATACTAATGCAAAGGACACATATAAAAGATTAGTAATATTTGGACAATTTATTTTTTTATGAGCGTTTATTAGTTTCAAAACTAATAATATTGAAGTTGCTTAATTTGTTAGACTGAAATATAAAATACAATTATAAAATAACCAACATGTGTTTCTTACCAGACGACAACCAATTTTCATTTTTCTGAGTTGTTTTATTTTCTCCGACAATATCTCTGCTGTAATAAATCAGGTAAAATCCCATTTTCAGGTAGGTATACAAGTTCCCCTGTGTAGAGTAAGAAAAAAGTGTGGAATAATTTTAAACGATAGTAATATTACACTTGTGTAAGTTTGAAATGGATATGTCAACTCTGCCTTAACGGTTTGACAAATTGAATGATATTTTTCGTCTGAAAACTCGTCTCTTGACTTTAGATAATGCACTGAAACATGTATCATTCTATAGCCACAAGAGTCTACTTTCCATCTACTATAGTTTTGCAACAAGACCGTAGACACTCTTGAGTCATATTTTATGCTAACAATATAAAACAATTTTTTCAAAGAAGAGGGACAGAACTTTCTCAGTCTATTACTTTACATTCAACCGCAAATAAATCAAACACAATAATTTTTTTAGGGATAATTTTATACAATTAATAACTGAAGCTATAAAAAAACAATTGTGTATTTTGATTTAAATTATTTTAAATATAAATATTTAATCAAAATATAATTTATCAAAAATAACGAATATCAAAGAATAATAAATGCACATAATTTTTCTTTGATTATAGCTATTCCCTCTTATCATAAATGTTTAATAATAAGCTATAAACAAGTATAATAAGTTTTAAAAATGATGTAATATTATTTTTCTAAATAATAGCATAATAAATAAGAATAATTTAACAGAATTTTGATGACTACAGTATTATAAAATATTAATTTTACCATGATAACATTATAATAATAATTTTTATACCTAGTTAAATTATTCTGATATTTATAACTCTTTGTTAAATGGCTTTATAATAAAACTAAAGTACAATTTAAATCATGGTTGAATTAATAAAAAATTAGAATATGTTTGTACTTAATATGAATATTTTTCTTTATTTAATGAAAAATTTACTAATTTTGAAAGTACTGATGCTAAGATAAAAGACTAATATTAATTATAACTAGCTGTATTACTAATATATAGATATCAAATCGAACAAAACTGCATTGAATATCTATAATATTTATCATAAATATTACTTTTTTTTTTAAATTTTATTACTATCTATTTTTTTCAAATAAAAATAAAAATTATAAATACAGTTTTGATTCATCTACCTCCGGTAAGCTCTTTTTATATATGTATGAACATTATTTTGAATCACGATTTCTGTTTGGTTATATATTTTATGTTCTTAATTAATTTTTTAATCGTCTAATCTATTCATAGTATGAAAACTAATTGAAAATTTTAATTTCCTAAATAGAATTTATTGTGCAAAATCAATAAGTTAGACGTATTTGTACTATAAGTATTTTATAGTTACTGTGCATTATTTTTTTTATTTTTTTTTTTTGATTCATTGTTAACGTTTAACTATATAATAACATGAATTAATTACCCAATAAACTTTAATTATTTTGAATAAAATACGAGAATATTATATTTATAATATATTAACAATAATAATAATAAATTCTTAGGCTTAAGCGTTCATAACGGTTATATAGCTAAATATTATGCTACTATACTGATGTTTGGTAATTTTTTTTTTTTAATATTATCTGTTTATAAATACATTATATTTCTATGATTTCTTGATGAATAAATTAATCAATGTTAATATTTGAAAAAAAATATGTATACATTCAAAAAATTATTCTTAGTTAAGATACGGCTAACTATACTGCTCACATAATCATAAAAAAAGTTTTTAAAATTGATTGTTTTATAAAATTAGTTTTTTTATTTCATTGTTAAGAGCGAAGGCAATTCTCAACAGTTTAGTAATACTTTGAAGTTGCCATGATAATTAAAAAAGTTATAAGATAATGAAAAAAATTTGACTTCGACGTAGGAATCAATTGGCAACTATTTATGGACACGATTTATCTGTGGTTTTATTTTTTTTAGAAAAACTGCTATGCAATAACATTTTGGGCACATTGAAGTATAGTTATATTTACAGTTTATAAAGGTTAATATAAAACTCTTTGGGATTATGTCTATTATATCTTTATAATGATAACTTAAATAAATACATAACATGCACACAAAAAAATAAAAAAAGTATATTAATTTCTTGAATATTATTTATACAACTAATTATTTATTAAGTGGTGAAATAATAAATATTTAAACATAATCTG